GAAGGATACTGCAAAATCCCCATTCCCTCCCCACTTCTGGGGGAAGGATACTGCAAAATCTGCATTCCCACCCCACTCTGGGGCCAGTCGAAAGTGGTACTTGCCGGTTCCCCAAACTTCTCAAAACATCCGCTACCGTTCTCCAGAACCTGTTAGAACCTGCTGGATTTCACTCCTGGACAGATTATCACTACCATTGAAATGGACTGATCTGTTTGTTTTCAGTTGTAACAGTTGAGAAACAACAACAAAATCAGGAATGATCAATACTTCTACAGAAGAACAGAAGGGGGGTGGGGAGAGATGTACTCATCACTTGCTCATTAGGCAGAATGTTTTTCTTTCTTTCTTTCACCAGCAAAGTTCTTAAAGTGCCTTCGAGCACCTGCTCATCCCCCCAAAAAGGGAGGAGTAGGAAATGTTCCATTATCACAATGGAGGAGAAAGATGGCATTAGGCACAGGTCTTGCAAAGAGGTTGGGTGTTACTGGGATGGAGAAAAGGGGGAGGAGGAAAGAGGAAGAAAATTTCCAAGGAGACGATACAAGCCATAAAATTGATATCATAACAAAGGGGGGGGGGAGGATGTGTATTTGTGTAAGAAGGATGGGGTGGGGGAGGGGACGAGCTGGGACACTGACGGCATAAAAGGCTTCCACCATCCATGCATGGAAGAGAACAGACACTCCGGTGCGTGTGGTTGTTTTAAATTACTCCAATACACTCCAAGTCTTGAGATAGTTGGGCAAGAACAATCAAGACAACAGTATGAAGGTATCTAAAATGACCATCCTCGTGCTTTCCATGCCATTTTATTTTCTGATTCAAACTGGGAAAGGACTGGCTGCTGAAGTCAACCCGGCTGGAGCTCCAACGTTTAGGAAGAACCTCCACCCCAGTCACAAAGACAAAGATGTAGAAGGGAGGAAACAACCTCCCCCTAGATTGTGGAAGGCTGCAGAAGGAGAAGCCCAACTGGGTGATGGAGAGTATGGCAAAGCAGCAAGCAGCTTGCAACTGGGAACCAGTAAGCAGAAGCCCAGTGGCAAGAGGCCGTTCCTCCCACTGTCCCCGCCAAAGGGCAAGAGTCAAGGCTTTGAGGCCCACTTGGATGGCCATGGGAACTTTAATACAGATACGGTGAGTCATGTATATTTTTTAAAAAATTAATTTTGGTCTGATCCTGAAATGCTCTTCCAATTCTTGCTGGAAATGAAATTTTTTATTGCAATTGAGTTTTTGGCAGATTAGCAGGGGAACAGTAGTGTGGCACTTGAATGTGACGAAGGGATGAACTGCAGTTAGTTAGATCATTATACAGATTTTTTTTAAAATTTCATCAAGCCGCAGTAAGGAAATACAGATAGTGCTCGACTTATGACCCTTTTGGAGCCCACATTTTCTGTTGTTAAGTGAGATATTTGAGTTTTGCCCCATTTTACGACCTTTCTTTGCCAAAATTGTTAAGTGAGTCAATGTATGTATGTATGTATGTATGTATGTGTATGTATGTATGTATATAAAAATATAAGTCTAGCAAGAAATACTAAGCAAGTTAATGAATTACTGAGACAGCATTTCTTACTTTCAAACAATGCGTCTTATCTGCAGGTTTTTTTTGTTTCCTTCTCAGTATTCCTGCCCTGGGATCCTGCTGAAAGCTTGCCGGAAACCGTCTGATTGCGATGGCTGCTTGGGCCTCTATACTTGCAAACTTCCAAAAGGAAGGTGTGACTTCAAAGCAGTTTCCCGACAAACAGGTACCACGGAAACTAAGCAGTACATCAAAGTGCGAGTGAATGAGATTCTTCTCCTGTTTTCAAATATTCCTTATGAAGAGCAATGCAGTGCTTATTCTCACTGAGCACTAGTGTGATGTAATGGCTAAAATATTGAAAATGTTCGGGGGAAGAACCAAACTAAAATTCAACTTCAACAATGAAGCTTAGAGGGTTATCAATATAAGAGAATATTTGAAACTCAGGGTTGAAGTGTGGGCTCTTTGCTGTTCTCTTAGCTTGCAGATGTTTCTAGTTTGGTAATGAAATGTCTGCAAGAAAACACCTAAGAATATCAAAGGACCCCCAATAGGATATTCACTCTCTCTATAACTCAAACCAAACTTCCTTGCCAGATGGTGTTATGGGGAAACAGCAAAAGAGCAAATTATATTATTTCCAACTTTTGAAGGAATAGTAGTGACTAATCTGAATGTCTAAATAAATGCCTTTACATCTGGATTGTTCCATAGAAGAAAATTGCACATTTATGATCCTTAATACAAGAAAGAAAATTAAATTTCCCACAAGAAATTAGAGGTCAGTGAAAGCTTTCCAGATATGTATAAATACACACTGCCATAGTGATGTCTAGAACTAGATTTGACATTGTGCACAGTAAGAAAACTGCTAAACCAGGGTTTCAAATGCTGCCTTCAAGCAATTGGCAACAGAGGGCGGTGTAAGGTCATACCGAATGAAAAGCTGATATAATGCTTTTGCAATCTTTGTACACTACTCTTTTCCTCATGTATTTAAAAAAAGCTACATGTGGAAGTTTTTGCCATTGGCTTTGGCATCAAATTTCTCCTGCAATGATTAAACAAAACAAAATAAAACTGAAGCCTTGTCCTTTAAAAATGCACCCACGATGCCCTTCCTTCTCGCCTTGATCTTAATAATCTAGCTCATGTTTGATCTCGTGGTGGCCCTATTCCTATTTAAAAATAATTCCCTGATTAATTCAAGGCACTTGTATAAATTTTATAAACTGTATCTCTCCATAATTGTGTTTATGTGACTAGGCAGGAGATGCCTCTTAGGAAGGAGAGGGAAAATACATGCCATTAGCTAAGTTTGGATCAAGCAATAGCGTCAATATATTTCTCTCCTTCACCAATGAGAACATTTTATTAGGTTCCTGGTTTATTTAGACTTATCACTATATTAGGGGGGAAAAAGCAAAGTCAGACTTGTAATTTGCACGTTAAAAATGTGGTGGCTCAGTGGCTAAGACACTGAGCTTGTCGATCAGAAAGGTTGGCAGTTCAGCAGTTCAAATCCCTAGCGCCACGTAATGGAGTGAGTTCCCATTACTTGTCCCAGCTTCTGCCAACCTAGCAGTTCGAAAGCACATAAAATGCAAATAGAAAAATAGGGACCATCTTTGGTGGGAAGGTAACAACGTTCCCTGCGCCTTTGGCATTTAGTCATGCCGGCCACATGACCACGGAGACGTCTTTGGACAGCCCTGGCTCTTCGGCTTTGAAACGGAGATGAGCACCGCTCCCTAGAGTTGGGAACGACTAGCACCTATGTGCGAGGGGAATCTTTACAGGGATTTTAAAAAATCCAAAGAGAAGAAAAAGCTGTTAAATCAGTTTTAACCTAGTCCCAAAATGTAAAATCAAAATGCCACTCTAGGGGGGGAAAATGGCATCATAGCTATGAACACTGTTCATTGGCAATTTGGGTATCTTTCCTATTGCAGCTTATTGTTTTGAGGGTCAAATGCAAAACCTTAGCCTTGGGACTACAAAGGAAGGGAAAAAAGAAAAGGAAAAAAATCATTAACTCATTACCGTCAAGATTTTCTTAGTGAGCTTTTTGTCATGCTTTCTAAGATCTTAATTTCACCATAATTGGAGACCATCAAAAAAAAGCAAATCATTTTCAAGGAAAAAAATCCAAGGAAGTTTTTGGAAAAACACTTTGTCTGGCAGCCTGCCCATAACCATAGAAAACACTCCTAGAGCGGCCACTGCTGGAAGAATCAGAAGCTGAGTTCCGGAGTTTGGAAGCCAGACAAGAAGTTTTGCTCGGAGCTCGGTGGTGGTTGCAAGGACAGCTGGCCCAGGGCATGGCGAGGCTGGGAGGCATGAGAGCTGTGGGTGGAGCAGGCGCTTGCACAACCCACTTCTCCAGCCGGGCAGAGCTCCATGCACTGACCTAGAGGGTATCCCGAATGTGCCAAGCAGTGGGACCTGGGGGGCGGGCAGAGCGCCACATGGCTTGGTGCCTTAGGGATACTCCCTAGGTCAGTGAATGGTGCTCTGCCTGACTGGAGAGGGGGTTTGTTGGGTGGCTGCTCGCAAGCATGGTCACCTCATGGCTGCTTCGCCCCTGAGGCTGTACCCAGCTCTTCGGGAGCCCGCTCACAAGGGAGCAGCTGCCCGGCAACTCCCCCCTCCAGCCAGGCAGAACGCCACTCCCCAACCTAGCAGTATCCCGAAGGTGCCAAACAACGTGAGTGCCTTTATTCCGCCCCCCCCGGCTCCCACGGCTTGGCGCCTTCAGGATACTGCTAGGTCGGTGAGTGGTGCTCTGCCTCGCTGGAGGGGGGGGGTTGTCCAGGGGGCTTATTTTTGGGGCGGGGACTTATATTTTGCCCACCTGAAAAATGTGGCAAGGCTTTAGTTTCAGGACATGTTATATTTTCGGAGAAACAGTCCGTAGTTGTGGTTATCTCAAACTTGATTAAAATTGACAAGGTTTTCCTGGCATAGAAATGCTCCAGAGTTGAAGATGACAAGGGGAAGATATGTTGATAAACTGGCATTCTAGTTTCTACAATGTAAGGCACTGACATGTTTCCCCCCAGTCCGTCATGCAAAACTTTTAAGTGATGCACTTATTAGCAAGGTTGCTACCATGTTTTTCCAAAAATAAGACATGGTCTTATTTTCTTTTGACCCCAAAATAAGCACTTGGCCTTATTTTCAGGGAAGTCTTATTATTCTTGAGGTGCAGGAGGCAGTGAGCGTGGTCACCTCATGGCTGCTGTTGTGTTGCACTATTTTCGGGGAGCTTATTATCCGGGGAGGTCTTACTTTTGGGGAAACAGGGTATTTACACTTAATTTTTGGAAGACTTGCTTGCAGCAAGTCTATGGTGCTCAATGTCACCCCAAAATACATAATGGGTGGCAAATGAATTTATTTAATAAAATTTAATAATAAAAATATAATTTGGAAGAACTAATTTCCCAATTGTATTGCACCAAACGGGAAGCCATGTGCTACCATTTGCACAATGCTGTATAATCACTTAGGTGTTGCATGTTCTCGCTACTTACAATGTGTTTTTGCTATTGTGGAAATTGGGGTACATGGACTTGGCATGCTGTTTACACAAGTAGCTGTGTCTCATAAGTAAAAGGCAAATTCTCACCTTGTCATCTCTGACAAAAAGGTTTAAGAGCTTAGAGCTGCTTCAAATGAGGGACTTGTTGCAACATTCTCACTCATCTTCAGCTTCTGTCATTGATATCCACTTGTAATTTTTCAATGTTGCTCCAGTGGTGTTCCCATCTTTTGACTGGAGAAAGTCCAACTTTCTGAGGGAAGGATGGAAGGAAAAGGAACACTAACTTGTGTCACTGTCCCCAGCCTTACTCTGATCTTCAAGGGGTGGTTTTAATACATGCAATGACCTGTCATTGTTCACCATTGCAATACTACAATCCTTGGGCATATTCCAGCCAAGCTTTTCCTATATCCATATAAGTCATAGGTTCACTCAGGAAGATGTGGCTGCTGATAAGTCAACCAGGAATATTTTCTTCATATTCTGTATTTTTCTTTCCCAGGTGGCTTTCTCCAGAGTATCCAGGAAAGATAAAATATACCGTCTCGGTGAAAAGCTGACCCAAAACAGTGTATTTGGGGATGGAGATGAATTAAACAAACAATCTTGGCCATGAAAACTGCTGCCAAATAAGCAACCTTTCCAAGCTTACCTGCATTATTCAAGGTGTCATAAAGGAAGAGGATGTCTTTATCTTAATGATTTCACCTTGGAGGAGCAGTAAATCCCTCAAACAGATTTCCTCCCCCCCCCCGCCCCCTACCACCTTCCTTTTATTTATTTTGCTTTATTACTTCTTGTTCTTCATTTTGCAAAACACTGTTTAATCTGAAAGGGTGTAATGTGATGGGGGCTGTACATATATGTGCTTCAGGGGCTCTTCAGAATGTCTAAAAATAGGTTTTCTCTGCTCTTAAAGACACTGGAGTTGACTATACCAAACTGTGTGCCCTACTTCTTAGCTACAGTGGTGGGATCTTACCAGTTTAACAACCGGTTTGGTGAGTGCGCACAGCTTTGAGAACACTTATCCTCCGCATTACTGCTGGGGAGGAAAACAGCTGAGGTGTGGCAACCCACTCTGCCATGCAACTCAACTGAGAAGATAAAAGGTCAGTAAAGCGCAGGGGCGGGCAGGTGGGCCCACTTGATCGTCGGAATGAACCAGTTCGCTCCCAGCTGATCATCAAAGCTACCAGTTCGCCAGTGGTGGGATTCAAATAATTTAACAACCGGTTCTCTGCCCTAATGACCAGCTAGGTAGGCGTGGCTTTGTGGTCATGTGACTGGGTGGGCATGGCCAACTCAACATCACTCCCGTCAATGGGCGCTTTGCCTTAGCTGTTATAATGCAATAAAGGTTAACTGGAGAGTCAGTTTCTGTAAGCAAGGCACTAAAGATCAGGCTAGAAACAACACCAGAATGTTTCCTTCCTGCCTCCCTTACAGGATTAGCCCAGTAAAGTGGAAAAAAACAAAATGAGATTTCTTCCAACAACCAGTTCTCCGAAGTGCTTAGAAAGTTAACAACCGGTTCTCCTGAATAGGTGCGAACCAGCTGAATCCCACCACTGCGGTTCACCCAAACCAGTTCGAACCAGTAAAATCCCATCCTACTTAGCTATGATTTTGCTTTTCCCTTTTTTATCGCTAGGCTAAAGTTTACTGGAAGTAAGAGTGGAGTTTGTACACATGTAATGTTTTAAGCAAGAGACCCACCGGTGGTCAGCCTCCACTTTTCTCCAGGATCCAGAATCCCTTCAGTGCATTCCCATTAGTTATCACACCTAAAACTGAAACCCCACATCTGGTGGCATCACAATCAACAGCCTTCCTTGAAGTTAAGACTTCAAGGTATCCCTTTCTTGTCAGCAAGAGCAGAAACAGTTCTCTTTATTGAGATGTACAGAAAGAGAAAGGTGTGGATGAAAACATGACCCTATCCCCAAACCTTTATGCTGGGTTGATTCGAAGGTACAAACAAGTTGCCACAAATTCTACATCACGGTTTGATCAGATATGGTACTTTTCAATAATGTCACACATCACTGTTGTGTAAATAAATGTAACAAAATTAAATGATATGCTTGCATGTATGAATGAATCGCCATGCAGTGTAACAAACACCGAATAAATCCAAGAGGAATGCAAGGACCGAAGGTAACTGTTTCACAACTGTCCTGGCCACTAGGGGGCGCATACAATCCCATCATCAAAACCATCCAATTCATCCTTTAAAAGCCTTCAGGCATTTTTCTGTTGCTTGGGGTGGGGGGAGTGGGTGAGCGGGAAGGTTCTCCAAAGGGCTGCTTCTGCCCTTCAAATCATCCTCTGAATTTTACTCCAGAAGTGTTGTGGCCTGCCAGCGGCCAGTAGAGCTGGAAGCAGATTCGGACAGTGAGGAGATTGGGGAGGAACATGGGCCAGTCCTGGAATCTGGGGAAGGCTCTGATGAGGGCTCTGTGTTGGAGGCAGAGAGGGGGCTAGAGCCGTATACCAGTTATCGGCTGCCTTCACACTCAGACATCAGCGAGGCAGATAAACAGGTGGATAAACTGTTCTCAGTGTGCGCATGCGCAGAGTTGCCAGACGAAGGGAACAGCTAAGGAACAAGGGTCAACTTGGGACAAAGGCCACAGGTGGACGATGAATGGCCCCCTCCCAGAGGAAATAAAAGAGGAGCGAAAGGGGAGTGGAGTTTGCAGGAGACAATGAGTTCACTTAATTTGTTCGTGACTCTCCGAGACCCCTTGCCAAGTTTTGCAGATATCAGCCTATCAGCTCTACAAGCCAGATAAGGTATGTGACTATAAATCCTCCCTTGAAACATTTTGCTGGATGTGAGTGAGCAGAATTCACAGTAAATTAATAAAAGGGGTTTTTGTTGTGACAAGGAGTCTGCTTCATGCTCTTTGGAAGCCTAGGTCAGAACAAGAAGATACACACAAATCAAACAAACTACATACAATACTTTGAACTAAGCACATGCTTTAGTTTGTTTTAATAAACACATACTTCCAATTACAACAGATCAGATTTACTCCGAAAGAAGAGTGTGGACATATATCCCAAACTCCAGGAAGGGGCAGAAAGTCATCACATAGTGGTCAGCTGGATAAAATTCTGAATGGATTCAGTAGTCCCCCCACCACTACCACCACACCTACTGGTGCATACGAGTTCTTCTTTTCCCATCTCTACGTCTGTGTCTCTTCCTGCTCTTTCTGTATCACTTCGTGTCATTTTACAATTATACTATCCAAGTTAAGGCAGCGCCTATCCTTGCTGTCATCCCTTGGGAGAGTAAATGGAACAAATGTCTCTGCCTAATAAGTCTTCCTAACCTCAGTATAAATAAGAAACATTTTCACCAAAAAACAACAACAACGTAATAGATAAGATCTCAAAATCACCACAAAGTCTGCAAAAGGGTCAGTGAGCAGAGAGGTTGGGGAGTGCTTTGTCCAGTGCATGCTCTTCATCAAGCCAATCCTTCTGCACCATGCTGTATAGGAGGCCACAAGGTCAGCTGTCCACCCAGGTGCAGCTTTTAAACCCTGCTTCTCTGGAGATTCCTCCACCCCTGGAGCAGGCTAAGCTGGACTTGGTTTTAAAATGGGAAAAACAAACGGAGCCCATGCTGTGTCTGCTGAAATGCTTAGAAAAGATCTCCTCCTCTCCACTCCTGGTGGTGCTCCAAATGCTTATTTCTTATGAAGAAATTTCATTCTGCTACCTAGAGAGGATTTAATGGTGGGGAAAGAAAGAGAGAGAGAGAGACAATGTTTATGGAAAGAAAAAGCCAACTTTTTTACCTGCAGAAAAGGCTAAAGTTTGAGTCTCCAACCTTTTCACGTGGCATCTCTGTGGAGCTGAGGCCAAACAGCAGAGAGCTCTGCACTTTTTAAAGGATACCTTGATGGGAGATTACAAAATGACCCTCTACAACAGGGGTGTCAGATCTGGGCCAGATCCGGCCCATGGGGTGCTTAGATCTGGCCCACAACGCTCCCCAGGAAACAGTGATGGACCAGTCTGCGGTGCCTCTACCAGCTAAAATGGAGCTCAGGAGGGTTGCATGCAGACCTCCCGAGCTTCATTTTCAGCCACAATGGCCTCCAGCACTGCCAGCAAAAATAGAGCTGCCCCCCCCTCCGTTTTCACTGGGAGAAGGAGGCCGTTGTAGCTCAAAATGGGGCCTTGATGAGTGACGTTGAGCTGGCCATGCCCATCTTGGCCACGCCCCCTGGCCCACGGAGATCAAACACAATTCTGATGCGGCCCTCAATGAAATCGAGTTTGACACCCATGCCCTACAATTTCACTTGAAATCTCCTGCAATTGCAGAAATTATGCCGTGAGAATTTTGGATTGTTTTAGAAATGTCATGATTCTGTAGGCACAGAAGATGGAGGTGATTCTATGAAGATTATTAAACTTATATGTTCACCATCAAATTATGTGCAAGTCTCCTTTCTTATGAAGCAGGGATGTGATGGGACAGGACATATTTTGGAAGGTAAGAAGCAAATGTTTACTATAATTAATATTGGCTAACCTTTCAGGTAAAAACAGTAATGGCTAACCTTTTTGGTGCCAAGTGCCCAAAGCATGCACGTGTGACCGTGCACGAAACTCCAAAATGCAATGCGAGCACCCCTGTGCATGCGCCCCACCCCCACGCATATATGGCAGAGACCCAAAGACCAGCTGGTTGGCAGGAGGCATGCGGGGGAGCTGGGCTGGGGCAACAGCCTGCAGAGAGGGCTCTGCATGTCACCTGTGGCACGCGTGCCCTAAGTTTGCCATCACAGGGTTAAAAAATGCTCTTTTTATTTTACATTATCTAAAACAGGGGTCCCCAATCCTCAGGCTGAAGAGCAGTACCGGTCCACGGCCTGTTAGGAACCAGGCCACACAAGCAAACAAAGCTTCATCACACATGCAGGATCTAGGAAGTGTGTGGAACCATCCCTCACTTCCCTGGAAAAATTGTTTTCCCCAGAACTGGTCCACAGTGCTCAAAAGATTTAGGACCGCTGATCTAAAAGAGGGGCCTCCAACCTTGGCAACTTTAAGACTTATGGACTTCCATTCCCAGAATTCCTCAGCCAATGAAGCTGACTAAGGAAGTCTGGGAATTGAAGTCCACAAGTCTTAAAGTTGCCAAGGTTGCAGACCCATGATCTAAAACATAGGTAACAGGTGCACAATTGTGTGATTTAAACATGGTAAAGTAAATATATATATATACATACATACATACATACATACATACATATATATATATATACATATATATATACATATACATATACATACATACATACATACATACATACATATTTGTTATATTTGTGCTGATAAATAAA